CCCCCCCCCCCCCCCCCCCGGATAGCTAGTGTAGTAATAAGATGTCAGAAGCTCCAGGAGCTGGCCTGCTGGGTCCCTTAGCCTCAAGTGCTTTTCACTGTCTTGGGCTTTAAGGCTACCCATGATGTGACAAAAGATGGAAAGAGGACAGTGACCCAGCCAACTCTTGGAGAACCTACTTTTGTGCGAAAGAGCTAGAAAAGAAGATGGGGAAAGGAGTGGAGCAGGTCAACCAGAAGATGCCTCTTACTCGGTGCCTGACCAATACTAAGCCCCCACGTGATCCTGAGGCAGCTTGCTATATTCCTGGACTCCAAATATTAAGAACTTCTTATTCTAGGCCTAAATTTGGGTGTCTTCAGGCATTTACTTACGGGGTGGTCAGTGTTGATGAGGAGCCAAGGTCATGGCAGCGTGGCACTGATACCCAACACCAGAACCTTGGGTTCCTCAATGCCCCTACCTCCCTTTCTTGTGGTAGAGGGACAGCAGGTTTGTGGGAGTGTTCACCACCCACTTGGGAACTCAAGCATGATGCCTAAGTCCCGGGAGTTAAGTGCTGCAAGAACTGAAAAGAGCAGGCTTCAGGGCAGCCACCAGCAAGTGGGGAGGGCTGGGCTAGCACCCCACAGCTGAAGGCCGCAGAGAAGAGGACGACAGAAGTGTCTGTGGCACTGGGGTAACCCAGTGCTGCCAGAGAACAGCAGGCAGGTTGGCAGTGACCTCAGCAGAACAAGATGACACATTCCCCAAATGCCAGCATCTTCTGATTCTTACAGTAATCATTTTTGGGATTAGTTTTTTTTTCTTTTTTAAAGCTATTCAGAAACAAATACTACCTACACTGCCCTTGACAACTGAGCCAGTTTTGCGTGTTGAGGTGGGGGTATCTGTGGGAATGTAGGACTATGTACCTTGGGTAGTATGTTTTTAATCAGTGGCCCCCTGGAGCACCCAAGCAGGTAACATTAGGGACTTCTAGTTGAATGCCAATTCTGGTCTCCCAAAGACTACGTACTGCTGTGTGTAGTACGTATCGTACGAATCACAACATCAACCCAAATAGTGACTTTCCAGAATCGAATCAGAAGGCTGAAACATAGATAACTACTATCACTGGGAAAGTAAGACTGTCCTCAGCAAGGTCCCTCCCAAGGATCGCACCTCTGGCCTGCAGGCCGGGGGAAGGAGCCACAAGTGTCTTTCATAGAAGCAGCAGCAATGGCCACCCTTCCAGGACCACCATCCAGACACAGACACCTTTGTACATTTCACTGAAGGTATCTGGAGGAATCAAACCGATGCATCTCCATGAACAGAATCTTTTCCACACTCTGTGTCTCCTAAGACCAGCATCCTGGTTGACTAGTGTTCCGGGTGAGAGGGGCACATTCTGTAGAAAGGGTGAAGACACACACACAGCCACTACCCAAACCCACAGTGTCCAGCCTGAGACAGGACAGGGCTCATGGACTCCAACTAACCTCACCGGAGTCTTGAGCCTCACGGGCAGCAGAGAGCTTATAAGAGGCCACTTAGCACTGGTAGCTGCTGGCATTCCTGTGGACCCTTCTGCTCCTCTACCTGAACCAAGGCTCCTGCAAAGGATGACTAGAAAGAAAAAAAAAGCACAAACTAAGCATCGGCTGGAGGACTAGTGAGTTCTGCAGTTCCTGGTCATGAGGATGCCACAGGCTAGGAGGATTACATGATGCCTACCTGAAGGCACACGTGCACAAGGAAAATAAACTTAAACTCGGGGGTGGGGGGAGACAGAGAGCATGGCTTCTGAAGAGCCAAGAACCCAGTAAAGACAGCAGACTATCACTAGGAGGCATGCAATAGCCAAACAAGCCTGGCATGAACAAGATGGGGAGTGCAGACACCTGCTCCTAGGGCCTGAGCTCACACCTTCCTGTGTGCACCTGCTCTTGTCATGTTATCTGTCCCGGGCCTTATGGCCCCATAAGGAAACCACTACTCAACTCTGTAAACTTCCATGTGACAAACACTTTCTGATGGTCATGGCAGTGGAAATAAGTTTCCAAAGAAAAGCCTACAAATATGAAGCCCAGTAAAGCAGCAGGTATCCCCAGAGAGGTACCCCAGCTACCAGCGAGAGGATGAAGACAGGAGCTCTGCCAGAGGCTGTCTCAGTTTGCTGACTAGTTTCTGCCCAAAGTAGGATAGGTTGAAACTGGACACGAGAGGTTTCAGAGAATTTCGAAGCCAGATGCAGGCAATAAGCAATCCATTCTGGACCAGATATGATTCCCAGTCCTCTCTCACCCATGTCATTATTTTGGTTTACTGAGCTGTTGCTCTCAATGTTCTTGGGAGCATCAGTGCTCGAGGGGGAACAAGGATGGGTGCCTTGCTATTCTCAGTCACATAAAGGACAGAAATCCTCTTAATTATGACCATGCCAATCTACATCCTGCTAAAACAGCTAATTACATGTCAGGAGGACACTCAGTCATTCGGAACAATTGCCATTATACTTTTATATATTCATTCTTCGCTCCCCCCTCAATTACCATGGTTACAGTTTGAAAAAAGACTCAGCCAAACCTTCATTTGATCACAGTACACCACCATGAATTTGTGAGTTAATTATGGCTGTATGGAGCCAGTCTTATTTAAAGAGAGAGAAGACGGACATGGAGTCAGGGGAGCTGGCCTCCTGGGTTTTCTAAATGGGGCACCAAGTTCCTCAACAATAGTACTCAGCCTGAAGACAGAAAGGGCTTGTCAGCCAAGGAAGGCAGCAGAATTCCCCTGCTCCTAGCAAGGGCTAGTGGTGAAGGGTGGGATGTGCTTGGGAGGGAACTCCACTAGTGGAAGAAGACTTTTCACATCTCACCTGAGAGGAACCAACTACATCTAGTTCTGATGGATGTTAGGAATGATAAAGCAGCCTGGGAATGGACCTTGGTGATGACAGGGACAGCTGGAGGAACCTTCCCTCAGTATCGCTCTCTCTTGGTTAAAGAAGAAAATCAGTGTTGTGGAGGTCTAGGTGGCTCAGGTTACTAGCTGATTTTTCTGATTTTTTTCTTAAAACCCACCCCCCACCCCCTCACCAAATAGTGTAATGAAGTAGCTATAGAAACCTCTCGGTTTTCAAACTTCCGGTTTCTAACAGTCCATAGATGGGCACAAGGCTTCATTTCTGAGCACCTGGCAGACCTGTATCTGCTGCAAGCAGTAATGTTTTCCCTTCAGTTTAGAAACAAACAGTTTTAAGAAAAGCCTTTTGGAACACACTCTGCAGGAGAGAAGCTTCTGCAACCAGAACACCGATCTGATGATGTGATGGGTCTCAAGGCCTTCCCTACTGCCTTCGTATGTCAGTTCTCTAGTGCAATGAGGGCTCTTCTTAAAGTGTTGGTCATCTCTGAAATGGAGGGTGTGTGATGAAGGAGGCTGTGCAGGGCAGCACAGGCTACCATGACTGCCTTAGAAAGCGCCTCCCTGGGAAGCCTCACGGCTGTCCAGGCGCTGTTACAGTCATAACCCATGCTACGGAGACGACTGCTAAAGGGTCTTCAGAGCCCTAGCTCAGTTTGCTAAATTTAATATGGCTGATAACTGGTGGCCGAATCCCGAGTAAGCACACTTGTGCACACACAGAGCATGAGCACACACACTCAGCATGCACACGCACACGCACACAAAGGAATGCTGTGCATGTGTAATTCCTACCCCTGCCCCAGTGCATCCCAATCAACTCCCACTCAAACACATGCACAGCAGAACTGGTCGATGTGAACAACCTTCACTTGGAGAATTGTAAAAAATGAGTTTGGCTCAGTAAAGCTGTAAGTGGATTTGGCTGGCCTTAGAACAGCCTCAGTGACTGCAGTAGTAAAACATAGCTGATAATGATGGCAATAGGGTGACGTCACAGAGATGGACAGACTGATGCACCGCAGGAGGCAGAGAGCCTCTGAGCACAAGACCACCGACCACAAGAAAAGTTATTGCCTAGGAACTTGGTGAGGCTCATGGGAAAAATTCAGGTTGTTCTCTGAACAAGAGGAAATAAATATAAAAGTAGAGTCAAGTTAAATGGGATTGTTTAGGATTTTTTGGTTGTTTGCTTCTTGAGACAGGGTTTCTCAGTAGCTATAAAGCCTATCCTGGATCCAGGCTGGTCTTGAACTCACAGAGGTCTTCCTGCCTCTGCCTCCCAAGTGCTGGGATTAATGGCATGAGCCACCACCGCCTGGGGAATGTTGCCAACAATCTCAGCACTTGGGAAGCAGAGGCTGGTGAGTCTCTGAGTTCTAGGCCAACCTGGTCTACAGAGTGAGTTCTAGGACAGCCAGGGCTACACAGAGAAACCCTGTCTTGAAAACAAAATAAAAAGGGATGGAGTGGGTGATGCTGCTTCTAATCAAATTCTTTTTGGGATGAGAGAGAATAAGGACTTGAAGGAAACATTTTTAGAACAGACTAGAGAAGTCATTGTGGAAAGGGGAGTATTCTCGGTGTGTAGACAAAGGAAGCAGGCACGGCAAATGGAGTCTGGCTACCTAAAAGAGGAAGGAGGGCTCGGGTTCGGAGTGGACTACCCATTAAGCTTGTGATCAGATGAGAGAAAATGTCGCGTGAAAATCAGCTCAAGGCAGAGACGCAGTGCTGACCCAAAATGTAAGGAAGAGGAGCCAGTCAGGGATGGGGAGACGGGGGTGTCCTGGTGGACCAGGGTCCTCTATCGCTGGTGCCTGGTGACGGTAGCCAAGAAGAATTTAGAGCAAGAATTCCTAAAGCTAGAGAGCGGAGATGACTGTACCACAGCTCTCTGTATGCCAGCCCCGCGAGGTGAAAATAAGTCCAGATGTCTGCTCCTAACTAGTTGTGCAGGAATGCAGCTCTGGAGTGGAGTGCAGGAGCCCAAACAGGCTTCCAACTCACTCATGTCGTTCTAACGTCACCTGCATTGCTGGAGTGAAAGGAACCAAGGGGCTGGCTGCCTCCTGTCCCAGGTCCCCTCCTCCTGTAGCCTGCCTCATGTGGTATTCAACACAAACTTGGCTGTTGTGAACGCGAGTGTCTTCTGGGTTCTGAGGGCACTGCACAGTCACACACAGGAGAGCACTGTGTTGCCCTTCCTGGCTATCCTCTGCTGCTGGCTGCGATTGTCTTCAGATAGGCAGGAATATCTTAAGATGGTCCTTTGTGAACAGGTCGTCATGGAAAGTACTAACTAGAAGGTGAGAAGTTAGTTACCTTCCTACCCAGCAACAGTAACTCAAAATGCCTGAAAAAAATAAAACCACAGCACACTCTCTGAATGTCTGGCCCCCACCCCCCACCTTTCAACATCTTCACTGGTCAGGAAGGCACAACTCCTGACAGAGATCTCTAGGGCCACAGAAGTACAGATGGAGGTAAGAGCAGAGACAGGCAAGCAAGAGCACAGCTCTTCTCCTTTCAGCTGGGACGCTTAAGTTTCTAATTCGATATCATACCTAAAACCCGGAAAATCTTCAGGAAAGATTTACCGTCCAAAGGAAGAGTGAATGCGGCAGCCCCGTGGCCATCCCAAGAGCCCAGGGACCAGAACACAAAAGTAGAACCTGGTGACCCCCAGACAACCACCTGACAGTAGATTTGAACCTTGTTCCCAAAGCAGCAAATTCCCACTGTGGGTCTGAAAACGCAGGTTCCGTGTGAGGCTGTGCGTCTGTGGGCATGCGGCAGTTTCTCCAGCAGCAGGACCAGCCTCTGTGGCAGCTCTGCCCTCCCAGTGCCACGACACAGCCACACAGAGCTGGAACTGCCTGCACCAGCCAGCTCTAGCCTCAGCCGAATCCCCCACTGCATTTTTCCCCCTCAGAGGTCTTCGGACAACAGAAGGGTTTGCTTTTCTGTTACAGTCAGAATTCCCTTAGAAACTGGAGCTGTCTGAACAGCTGAAGTCTGTTCCCTTGAAAAGGTGAGCAAGAACAAATGACAAGAGCAATGGCACCAGAAAGAAGTCGTCAGTTACAATCACCTCGTGGTAAATCGTGGATGTGGCTCATTAGAAAAATATGGTTCCCCCTCCTGTTCTTTCTGATTCAACTGAGAATGAGCAGACAAAACGCGACCGCAATGGAAAGACACAATAGGTATATTCCTCTGAGCAAACAAAAGGAAAGAAAGACAATGCAATCTCCTAAGTGAAATAAAATAAATCAAACAAACCATGGAAGATTCTAAGTAGGTGTGGGGTGCTCGTTCCTGAGAATAAGAAATGCTACTCTTAAATTTGTGGGTTCAAGTACTACAGTAAGAGAAGATGGCTCCATTTTACTTCAGTTTTTGGAGCTGGGAAAAACACACGTTTCCCCCTGAAATCCACGGACAGGAGCAGGACCAGGCCCTACCCAGTGCTCTTCAAAGTCTCAGACGTAGGTGGGGTGGCATCCTCAGGCCCCCCAAAGACGACTCCTCACATTCATGTAACCAAGACTTACAACCAAAGGGATAATCCCGTCAGAGTGTGCCCCAGTAAGACCAGCTAAGTGCTGTGGATACTGAGTATCCGGCCAGCAAGAAGAGGAGAATGAGGGTCAGTGTGCCCTCCTCTCTCAACAGCTCTGAAGTTGAACACATTTGGTGAAGGAGGAGGTAAGGAGACAGTGCCTACTTTCTGTCTTAGAAATTGGTTCAGGTAATGGACAAAAAGACGGAAGCCCTGCTTAATGGCCCGCTCCACACTGCCCTCCAAACAAGGCTTTGTCGGACACACAGAGGAGAGATGGGATGAGGCAGAAAACACTTAGCCTCTCTCAGACACACACTGAAGGCTGCTTCTTCTCGCCCACAGTGACAGTGTGTCATTTAATCAGGTTGCCAGGATCATTTTCATACAAGGCCAGCAGATGTAATTCCCTTTGATGCATGAATAGTTCATCATTTTGCTACTAGATGACAAGGTGATCACAGGGTGACTTTATAACGTAAGTTCACTGTTTGGTATTTTGAGTTCTCAAAATGAAAAAAAGATTTATCAAATATAAATATCTTTAAAAAGTAACAAAAGTGCTACATATGTGATCAAGGAAAAAAATTCCATTAGTTACTGCCGCTTAAAGTAGATTAAACTACAAATATTACCACATCCATTATCAATATGGCTTCCAATTATTAAATAAATTGCCTATAGCAATATAGCTTTCACACCTCCACAAGGACAGAGTAATGGGAGCAGAGCAGACACATCCTGCTGTGTCCCACACTCAGGATATAAGTGGTAAATGTCCCCTGCTTTCTCTGCCCCTAGCTAGGCAAGGATCTGCACCTGTGACAGTCGAGGCAGCACAGTCCCCAGGAGAGTTCTAGCAACTCTGGGAGGCTCCAGGAGATGGGCACAGAGCCTGATCTTTCACTCACTTGACCTCAGCTCTATCCTCAGAGACTGTTTGGTAGCAGGGAGGGGGCACCAAGAGGAGACAAAGCAACTCGCATGGTATCTCCAGCACTTTCCCAGGCAGGCGCTGGTACCACGCTGTGGAATGTATAGCGGCTCTGAGAACTGGGCTTAGCATCCATCCGACATTCAGCGCATGCTTTCCCCTATGCTCTCAAGCTGGGTTCTGCTTTTCAGAACTTGGTGTTTTGTCTTTTTTGTTTTAGGATCGTGGTCCCAAAGGCAGAAGGCAGTATGTTATCTACTAAGTCACACAGCTTGTGAGAGGAAAGGATGTCTGTGTTGGCCATATTAACACTAACCAAGGTCTGAGCTCGGGATTCCAATGACGTTCTTAGCACAGCACCCAAAGAAGTATAGTCTAGTCACGCTGTGACTAGGAGGCACGGCTTATTGCGGCTGAAATCAATGACTCTCCGGCTGAGGCGGGGCTCTAGTGTTCCTTGCGCTCCGTGGATACTTCCCGGATGGTGTCTGTTGGTCCTGTGCCTCTACCTCAGCTTGCATCCTGTCAGTCTTGGGGCAGGAACAGGGTACAGCCTAGTGTTACATGAATCTAAAGGTACCCAAGATTTTACACAGAGCCTAATATTTGAGAACTGAGGGTTATTTATATACCTGGAAGCACTTTCTTGGAATGCTAAGACGGAGCAGCAAGATTTCTTTAGCCTCAGGGGCTGGGAGAGGGACGTTTGGTTGGTTGGTTATTACTTACTGGGATTTTAATACTGAGAGAGTATATGCAAAGGCTGAGGGCACCATGCCATCTTCACAGAACAAGACCCTAACGGCTACCTGACATACAAGAAACTGTAAGTTATACTGTAAGAACACATGTTAAGGACCGAGGAAAGTCTGCTAAGGTGCTACGTCTAAACTAAGTAACTGTGTGATCCTCCCTGATCAGTCATCATCCAGGGCCTCTGTCTTGATCTCATTGGCTCCCTGCCGGGCCAATGCCAAGATAGTGTGGTTGACGGCTGCCATCTCCACAGCTAGTGAGATGGGATCTTGGTGGTCACTATGGCTCGTGCTGTCATCCTAGATGTGTAGAAATAAGAAATGAATGTTATTCGTTGGCTGGTAACAATTCTCAAGCTCACAGAAAGGCATGCAGGGCGCCGTGCAGGGGACAGAAGCATCTGTGGAGGAAGCTGCCGAGTGCATCTCACGGTGGAGTGAACTGTATTTAAGTAGACACTGAATGGACATGGGTCCAGAGACTTCAAGTGGTTGTGTGACTCAACAAAAAGGGCAAAAATGATTTGATTTGTTCTTTTTTGCACTGAGAATTTATTTATTCTATCAAAAAACTGCTAGTGGTGATCAAACCTGAAGTGATTAAAATAAACTAGTAATTTGGGTTTTTCTGTTTGCCACAGACACAACAGTAATCACTGAGCCCAAACTAGCGCACTCCTAAATCTACAAGGCTACTGAGTGGCTACTGGAATCCACGGTGTCACTGCTGAGACAAGTAAAGAAAACGCAGAAGTATAGACGTCTACACCTTACAAGTCAGGGAGGGTCCTCAGTTACACAAGTCACAAGTGCAGCATCCCATTTAGAGCTCAGTGAAGCTCTCCACCCTTCAAGCTACACACATTACACGGTAAAGCTGCTGACAGGCTTAGCGGCACATGTCTGTAACCCCAGCACTCCCAAGCTGAGGCAGGAGACTGACTGCAAGTTCCAAAACCAAATCAAACCAAACCCAGACAACAGAGGAAGGAAGTTGTGAATGAAGCTGTCCTTACAGGGTGTGTGCTGGGCACTGAAAGTGCTAACACAGAGAAGGGGTGTTTCTCACCTGTCACATCTTCAGGGGACTCTGTACCAAAGAGCTTTGGAAAGGGTAAGTCCCTTGGGGGAAAAAGCATAGGATGTGCTGCCCTCAGGGCATCTGCAAAAAAAGATGGAAATGATCCATCTATGTGGGTCAGCTGAAGAATTACAGGAAGGTTTTCGACAAGAAAGAAACAGAGCACTCTCCTGAGCCAAGGGTGGAGATGTGCTTGGAGAAGCAACTCTCTTGGGGTAGATGATCTTCTGGAACACATGGCTGTACTGTTTCCTTCTGGCTTTTAGATTTTAGCTTTAGACTGAAGAAGGGATTTGCAGAGACTCACGTGCCCCTCTGGAGTACTGGGGTTCACAGAGGTAATGAACACCGAGAGAGTGAAGAGCACGGCAGGCTGAGGGACAAGGAAACCACCAGAAGAAAGAGCAAATGCCTGCTTTCTTGCCAGAGTCTAGGGAGGGACTGTGTGTTCTTTGAATTTCTCGTATGGAAATGAAACTTAGATCCTATAGAAAATTTTAATGAACTCTTTGTCAACACGCTTGTGGGTGGGGGGAACTCCCCCACTTGTAGTGACTGACTTATTCCATGCAGTGGCTACAATTAAATACACTTTCCCCAGGCAATGCAGAACACAGCAGGATGAGGTGAGAAGACATGCAGGTATTGCATTTATGACAAGATGAGTATGTCAATGTCCAGAGAAACTCTGATTAACCACTTCTCTGGGCATGAGCGTTCCCACTGTAATGGGGCTGGAGTGGGCGGGGCCTTCTGTTGTGCCCTGCATGGTCCATATGTAGGCACCACCACCGCTGCCCGCGTGCCCCTAAGTGCTTCTCAAACACTGTGTGTGTGGTAAGTGGTTAACTTGCTTGTTTGGGTCAGATCCTCCTCTCTTCTTCTACCTTCTCTGCTTCTCTGCCTCCCTCTGAACTTCTTCCCTCCTCCTCCTCCCCATTGCGTGCTTGCCAAGTGTCCTGTTGTGTGACAATAAACCCATGGGGTGGATAGAGATTACTCACAGATTTAACAGGACAACAGAATCTTAGCACATGAAAATCTAACTAGATCCATGAGCAGAGTGGAGGGACACCAACTGCTCTCCCCACCTCCCCATACGACCATACCCACGGGCTTGAGCTGCCACACTGCCCCACCACTCTGTAACCAGAAGCCTCAGCTCAGCCACCTACCTGCTCGGAGTAGTCGTTCCCGTCCACGTCATCACTGTTGGAGTGGCCTCCTGGACTCTGTACGTCTATCCCATGACTCTCCAGGATTGCTGCTTCTTCGAAAAAAGCAAATAGCTCCCTAAATTATCTGCTGCCTCATCACCATGATCTTTACGGTGAGGAAGTCAGAACATAGTTAATCTGTTTCTAATTATCTGTAAATGGCAGAAATACAATTCTGTGTGGCTTCTGTACACATTCAACTACCAACCCGGACTGCTGGGTACTTCCTAAAACCTATGACGTCAGCAGCTGTCCTGGTGGGCTGCACAAAGGAAATGAGAACTGGGTTGAGCAGGAAGAAGCACATTCACCAATGAAATGCAACTGTACTTCCTGTGGTGCTGGGGATCAAAACCAGGTCCTTTCGGTCACTGTGCCACCCCAGCCCTGAAATGCAACTTCAGAAGCTTAAATGAATCTTTTACTCTCGTCTCATCCGCTCAAATCTCACTTTTACTAGTTTTGAACAGGACAAAATTATGTCTTTTCTTCTTTTTTTTAGTTGAGTGCACATTTTCCCCTCAGGCATTCTCACATGGTCTTCCATCTTCCAGCTTTATTAAGTTGCTGTTGGCCAGTGGAAACTTTGTTTATGGTATACGGCACAGTATATAGCAATAAGTATACACTGTGAACTGACCAAACCCGATGTTAGATTTCTGATACGCCCTTTATTGTGACTTTTGCTTCTTGTCTGCTGAATCTCTTCTACTCCAGCTACTGATCAGATGTTTCTCAGAGTCTAGGTCATAGCTGTAGCAGTAACCAGCAGGCTGGGGGCATCACAGTTCCTTTCTTAGGACCCCACAGAAATCCTTAATATGAGTCACTTGAGAAAGCCATTGCTCAGGGGTTAATTCTACAATCTAGAACATTAAGAACAATCAGCTTTATAAATAACGAAGTTGTTATTAAAATATAAATAAAACAGTGCAGGTAACACTGACCTCGCTATTAAAAATGCAATGAAGAGACGCAATGGTGCTTCTTGACAGCCCTAAGTGTTGGGATCACTTAGACCTGCAGCTCATAAACTGGCCACTCTTATCTCATTTCTAAACTTCTCCTGAGAGAAGGCAGTCTCTCTGATACATTACCGATATTGGCTCTCCTCTTGATCTCCTTCCGTCTATTAGCAAACCAATTATAAACTTTCAGAGAGGTAACTCGTTCCAGGTCAGACAGCTTTTTGCCTGTGAATGCATGCAACAAAATTCAGATAATCTGTATCTTGGATCCAAGACTGAACTGTTCTTAAGAAATATTTCTTTGCTAAAAGTTGCTTTTGATTCTATTTATTGCCAAAATAACAGATGGGGTGGAATCTTTTTTTTAGCATTGCTTAGTACTAAGAACCCACTAAAATTATTACAGCATCAACAAACACATAAATGAATACACAGCTAGCCACAACACAGGAAGACACGCTCAATATTAAAAACATCCATGAAGTCCGATTACTAGGATTCCAGATCAAATCATAGTTTCCATGTTAGTTCCGGAGAGGTGTCATTTAAATAGCAGCATTGAGAGGAATGTTATTCTTTATGGAAGTATACAGATAAAATCCTGGCATCTTAAGATATATGTTACATATTATGTATAGGAGATACATGTTGTGTTGAAGGCTAATGGCCGTGTACCCATCCACTACTGTGACTGTTCTGGAACACAGCATCACTCAGGTTAGAGTTCAGATTTCCTGTCCTCTTGGTCGCTGCAGTTAATTCTTACGGAGACACCATGCTAACTTGTAAGCAACCGTCTGTGCTGTCTCCTCCTCTCCTGGCCTCTTATTTTCAGCTTTCAATCTGTATGTGCTTCCCTTGCACTGGGACTGCAGGCCTGTGCACTCAAGGCCCAGACTCCCCTCCCCTAAGGGTAGAGCTGAGTGTACTGGGTAATATCACTAGAAGCTGGCTTTCTAAATAAAGGAGATTAATCCCCTTCACCCTATAAAACTCTGATATTCATATAGTCTTTAAGCCATCAAAACAAGTGATCACGTGGAAACTAGCTGTTTGTGCCAAGTCTCTCAAGTATGGAGGGGGTATGGTACATAGGAAGTGCCAGAGTGGCTATGGACCTCCACAGGAGACTCAAAGGGAACCACCATGTTCCCTTAGCTACGCAGAAGTCACCAGTGCCAGTGTGGGAAGCAGATAGAGTTCAACTCCAAAAAGCTGCCCCACAAAGAAATACAATTCACACAATTTTATAGCAATGGTGAACAAAATAGTTTTACATACTTTTATTAACAAAACTTGCTTGAATTTTCACACTTTACCATTGTCAGAATTGATAAATTTATGCTAAATTTTGGACAAATAAATCCATCATTAAAAACATAAAAAAATCCATAATTAAAAACAGGGCCTAAGTCTCATGGAGAGTCATGGTGTTGACTACTTCATCCACATAGGTCACATGAACATCAGGAGTACTGTTTGGAGAACACTTGGCTGGGACCTGCAGTAGGAGGGTGAGTGTACAGACCACACTGAATGTAACCGAGCATTGCCCTCTGAGCTCACATCCTTACCTGGCTTCTGTATGACTGCATTGCAAGCGTTGGCAATCTCTTCTCTCTTTGCTTCATCTGGATATTGATTCTCATTGAAGTAACTGCAGGGGCAACCAACAAAGGCACATTTTACTTTAAAATGTGCTCATTAAAATGTCTCCTTTAAGATGTAACTTGGTATAGTCCAGGATGTCCAGAAGAACTTTTTGGTGGAGAGAAACAGTTGCTAGTGTTGCTATGGTAACCACTACCTATGTGCCCACTGTGCACCTCAAAGGACGACAACGTAAGGAGTAGATTTGCCTTTTACTTAACTGAAATTACTCTGTGTGCCTAGTGGCTACATGCTTCTGTGCTTCACTAACAGATTCCTCTAAGATGAAAGTTATTTTTTTGTGAATGCGCCTGGTGATGATCATGTTAACTGAATCAAGCTAGTCTTAGGAACATAATATTATGCCTATTCTCACGAGTGGGTGGTTCTTAGATCTTATATAGCTATATACAACTGTGGATGTATGTATGACATGACCTCAGAAGTGAAACTAACTGGGGGAAGCAAGAGGAATAATGGGAAGGGAAAGCGAAGAAAAGGGAGGGGAGGGAGGTAAGGGGCATGACCAATATACAATAGACACATGCAGGGAAACACTACAGGTTATTTTGGTGTGCATGACTGACGAAAGTCACAGAGCCACAAGAGTCATGCTACTAAAGCACTGGTATCAGCACAGCTTTTTCTTTTTTGGTCATTTTTTTTTAATAGTAGTAAAAACTGAAAATTAACCAATTATCCACAAACAAGGGGTGGCAGAACAAATTATGGGGTATTTATACTATTTTTAAACAATTAGGAAAAAATAAGTTAGCACTCTATCCACTGACCTGAATGGATTTTTAAAGCATATTCCTAAGTGAGAAAAACAAAATGCAGAATAATGTACATCACAAATGCTATGAATTAGAAGGCTCCTGTCTGCATGTGTGCTGCATGTGTGCTGCATGTGTGCTGGTTCCCATGGGTAAAGAGGAGAACACACAGTAAGCTGAGAATACTGAGCACTCACTGTCGAAGAAGGGGCTTCAAGGCATACTTATGCATTTCATCTTTGTACATTAGGAAGTAGATATTACTTTGGCTCAACAATAGTTAAAACACGAGGCTTGCTAAATCTGTTGTTAGACTGGGCAGACTCATAAAATGTAGGTGGAAACAGAATGCCATTATTAGTGCTACTTTTTCTGACATCTATGAACTTACAGAAAAAGGGAGCTTTCATGCCTTGAGCCTGGATGCTGACAATCAGGCAATGACCTTTACTGGATTCTAGTACCTACCAAATCTTCTTCCTTTCCCTGGAAAGCAGCCAGTCAGCAATGACAGAAAGACCACTCACTGCCCAAATGCCTCAGAGGTCCCTCTCCTCCTTAAAAGCCTGACCTCCCTCGAGGTCTCTGTACGGACAGCACACCTTCACTTCAGTTTGGGTAAAGCTGTTGCCTCGCTTCTCCATCTTCTTTTCTGAAACATAAGCCTCCCAGCCATATGATCCCACCCTTGTCTCTGACCATGCTCCACATGGGCCCTTGCTGTTTCCCTTGGTGTAAGCATCTCCTCCTGCATGGTCCTTGGAGTGCCAGTGTTCATTTTCAGACCCTTCCAAGCTACCATGCTCATGGCCGCTCCATGTCCATGCTGTCCTGGCCTCTGTGTTTGATTGAACTTTTGGTTAGGCCGTGGCAGCAGCACAGCTTCCCATGGAGCAGACTCAGAGCCAAACTTCAATATGACAGTCAGGTAACCGGAACACAGACTAACATCTGAAACATCACCCAGCTGACTCATTTACCCCAATCAAGGAGCTCACAATCTACTGGGACAGAAAGATATACGTAAGTGTACTTGTAACATGAAGGCCGGCTTGTTGGTGTATCTGTCCCGCCCAGTTATTAAAATGCGATTGACAGAATACAGACAATTCTCCCGCATCATGTACTTGTGGTGAAAGGCCACAGGATTTGTGTGGTCACGCTTGTGGGTGGAGTCTGCAAAGATGTCACAGGGAAGTCTGAGCTAGGTCTTGAGGACTGAAGGCGATGGCAGATGAGACCACGAGATCCCTGGGCACCGAGGGGGGCAGAGTGTTAAGAGCACGGGCTTCGCAGGACGGTGCGATGAGATCAGTGCTAGTGCCATCACTTCTTCAGAGGGAGAGGGGACAGCTGGCAATGCACTCGCTCTGTCCTCTAGGAATGAAGGGCCATCCATTGAAAACCAGAGGTTTTCATACAGCAGGAACATGATTCCACCTGTGCTTTATAGGAAGAGAACACGCCTCCAAACATATCACTCTGAATTCTCCCTCCATGACCTTAAATTCTGAATTCTCCAGTCAGCCTCCTCCTGATCTACATCTCTGCAAACTTTAGCCTTCATCTTCCCAGCAATCACTAATCCTGTAATTGTTTCTCATCTCCTAAGTAAAAAATAAATGTTTACTACGTCTAGTCGCAGCCCTTAACTTCTTGCCCAAATGACAGACAAGCCAAACTTGTCTGAGAGGAAGGGAATTGTACTGATGAGTTTTTCTGTTCTGTGATCCTGCCCTGCAAATCTCCCGCTGCACAGCACCTTCCCTTTTGTTCCCGTCCTCCTCGGAGGACCAAGTGTTCCCGAACACCACACAACAGCGCCAAGCGGTTTCCTTCCTCTGCAATCTGAACTCGTCCCTTTGTTTCTGATGGAACTCTTTCATGACTCATTCCTCTGAAACCTTCCCACTCTGAAGTCTCAAGCCCTCAAAGCCACCACTGTCACTCTTTCTGCAGATGACCTTGCCTTCGCGGTTATTGGTTTGCTAGATTTCTTAGCTTCTGAACGGCTAAACTTCTCTAGGCCATTATTCATTTCTTTTCCCATAGCCAAGGAAACATAAATCATTCTCCTTTTCAAGGTCAACTTCTCTACTTGTCCTTAATTGTATCCCCTCTCCCGCTCATTTTCTCAAATTCTTTCTTGCATTTCTCAGCTTTTCTCTGTACCAATGTAAAGATCTTATTTCACTGATTTCATGATGCACATTTCATCACTGTGACCCTCGACATCAGGACACATCTCCTAACGGGTAATATTGTTTTGCTTTTTCCTCTCTCACTGGCGTGTACAGTAAAGTGTGCCTTACAATTAAGGCTTTGTCAGACTGGATGGAAAACAGTGGCTGGTAAGACCTAAGGTTCCATGTGAGTGACAACTCTATGGTCAGTATACCTTATAACTCTTTGGCCAAATAACCTGAAAGACCACGACTGATTCATATTCCTGACACATTACTTAGGTTCAAATATTTTCAAAGGTTTACTATGGGGGCTTGGAATTGCCTCACCACCCCCATATAAGTAAGAAAGAGAGTAGCCTGTGCCTGTCTCCTGCCAGCACACCTGCCTTTTGCCTTCCTCCAATGCCAGTGGCCTGAGAAATGAGTTTTCGTTACCAACCGAATCCTATAGGAACTCATCTGCTCCTTCCTCACAGCTCTTCCATCTTGTACCTTCTCCTCATCCACAGGAAAGCACTGAAACCCAGATCAGACTCTACCTCAGCTGTCTCACAGACACTGGAGTCACAGGCATGTACGGCTAAGCCCAACACAGAACACATAGAGCTGTCAGAGGCCTTTATCTCTGCCGAGCAAGAACGACACATAGAGCAGGAAATAAAATGCTGCTGACACGGCTGGCTTCCATAATGTGCTTCGCAGAATTCTCTGCAGGGTTTTCGAAGCGAACGAACACATTTTTACAACAAAAGGACCTTGGGGGAAACACTGAAATAATTAAGAACCAGTTTGATAATTAATACAATTCTGTAGACAATTCATGCTCTAAAGTGGATTGGGATCAGGTAGAAGGCATTAGTATTGTGGTGCAGTGACTAACAAAAAAATGCCGTACTGGTTTTGGGAGCTAAATTAAAATTTTCAGTTATTCCTGGCATAATGTTTTCTATTAACTCAAAGTTTTAGAGTTCTCTTTTACACTGTATTTCCAGGATTTAAGCGCATACAATGAAGATCAGAGTAAAGAGAGTAACTTCTCTCAAATCAAGACCTCAGGAAAAGGATAATTTATTCATATAATTTAAGCCATATTTTTGAAAAAGCAGCGTTTCCTCCTCTTTTAAAAAAACTGTTGCTATTGTTTTTAAAAATTATATGTATGAATGTTTGCCTAACATGTTATGTCTGTGCACTGAGGTCAGAAGAGGACGTGGGTCCACTGGAACTAGAGTTACAGATGGTTGTGAGCTGTCTGTCATGTTGGGGCTGGGAATTGAGCCTGGGCCCCTGGAAGAGCAGACAATGCATTTAACTGCTGAGTCATAACACCAGCCCTATTGTTTATGATTAAGAAATATTCTGCTTAATCTCACTGCTGAGCTCTGGATAACATTTAAAGAATTAACACTAATTCTTCATAAATCATTTCAAAATCTGAAGAGAGTTTTTCCAAATTCATTATAGAAGATTTGTACTGTCCCAATACCCTAGTGACCACAGATGACAAAGAAAAAACAAATAACAAAAACAAAACAATAACAACAAAAGAACCCAAAAAACCCTTCAGTTAACATCCTGGAAAAGGAATCTAGGAGCGCATTAAAAAGACTATTCATCACAACCAAGAGACATCCCAGGGATAAGAGGTTAAACATGCACAAATCCCTGAGCATGACACAGCCTCCCATAGTGTGAGGGACAAAAGCTATACGATCATCTCACTGGGCGCACAAAGGGAATTTGATAAGATTCCAATATCTGTTCATGTCTGACACTCATCATTTCTTCAACAGGAGATGAGGTTAGCCTGTGATGATGGGTCAGGTCTTACCCATCACTTTTTCACGGGGACCTTAGGTCTTAGCTAGCAACCAGTTTCCAACCAGTCTAACAAAACCTTGGTTGTAAGCAGAAGAATGAACTGAACACCACCAGTTAAAAGAATATTCAAATCAAAATTAAATATAAGACTTGAAGCCAAAAGAGCACCAGAAGGAAAATTAAAGTACTCTGGAACGTCAAAATGAACAAGGGTTTCCTGGACA